GAATGCCCCCCTCCCTCCTGGTCTGGGGATGTGATTTATCAAGCTGTGAATTCTCCATATGAAAAGTATGATGTCAGGAAAAGGATCAGCAGATGCATACTCTAGACGAATGATTAAACCATCCAAATACACAAGCAATGACTTGGGGTTTTTCATCTGGGCCCAAATGGGGGGGGATAGGAAGCAGTAGGAGGCCCTGACCAGCCCAGGCTGTACTTTAGAGACCCCAGGAACAAGTCATTTAAGTCACTGTGGAACTTGATTTTCTGCTGCTCTGAGGATGTGGATTGGGGACACCAGGGCCTCGAGAGGTGACAGAAGGCGATAGGTGTGAATGGAGTATTTCTAGGGCCTAATTTGCAGAGGTAGATCAGAGGTGACAATGACACTATTAGCTACCATTTACATGTGGCAGGTGTTTTTACTTATGTCATCTACTCTTTATGTTTTTGTTCCAGGAGTGGGACTTGAACTCATGGCCTCACACTCTCCCTCAAGGCTGGTGCTCTACCACTTGTCTCACACCTTCATTTTCATCATCTAATTTTCTTTTCTTGTTCTGAGACCAGAACTTGAACTCAGTACACCTGACACTTTTGCTCATTGACTAGCACTCTATCAACTGAGCCATGCTGCCAACCCAAAGGGTTACTTTCTTCTTTTTTTTTACTGTCTTTTTCTTTTACTGTCCTGGGGGCTTGAATTCAAGGCCTGGGCATGGTCCCTGAGCCTCTTTGTGCTCAAGGCTAGTGCTTTACCACTTGAGCCACAGTGCCACTTCCTTCCATCATCTAATTTTAATATTTACAAGAGTTATTTTTCCCTCACATTACAGATAGGAGAACTTTGTGTCACACAGCTAGAATTACCTGAAGAGGGATTTAAATCCAGTGTGGGACTCCAGAATCTATATTCAAAACCATCACATACTATTGCTCAATGCAAAGCCCTAGAAAGCTTTCTAGGTGTCCCACCCTGGATTTCCATCTCTTTCTTCCATGAGAGACAATAACCATTTTATCATTAAGATTTTTTGGGGGGGGGCAGTGCTGGGGTTTGAACTCAGGGTCTCACACTTGCTAGCTAGGCTCAGTATGAGTCACACCTTCAACCCTTTATGCTTTTAGTTATTTTTTGGGCAGGGTCTCAAGCTTTTGCTCTAGGTTAGCCTCAAACTGCAGTTCTCCTACCTATATCTCCCAGTAGCTGAGATTATAGGTGTGAGCCACTTACACAAGAATCAAGATAAATTCTTTGAACATCCACTGGGAGTCAGGTACCGTATGAGCCTCTGGGGATAAACGAGTAAATGAAACTGGCCCCCACCCTCAGGGAGTTAACAGGTTAGTGCAGGTGTTGTCAAACTCTTTCTAGAAAGGGCCATATACTCAATATTTTTTGGTGTTATGGATCATACTGTCCTTGCCATAACTAAATTGTGCCATCAAAGTGAAAAAAATAGCAATAGATGGTATGTTAAAAAAAACACAAAAACATAGTTGTGTTCCAATAAAACTTTATGTGTAAACACTGAAATTTGAATTTCAGACAATTTTCATGTCACAAAATATTAAACTTGTTGTTGTTGTTCTTGTTGGTCACAGAGCTCAACTCTGGGCCCGGGCACCGTCCCTGAGCTTTTGTACTTAAGGCTAGCACTCTACCACTTTGTGTCACATCTCTAATTCTGGCTTTCTGGTGGTTAATTTGGTGATAAAAATTTCATGGACTTTCCTGCCCGGGCTAGCTTTGAACCAGGATCCTCAGCTCTCAGCCTCCTGAGTAGCTTGGATTACAGGTGTAAGCCACCAGAGCCCAGATAAACTTAAAAATCATATATCTACATCTCTCTCTCTCTCTCTATCTACCATCTATCTATCTGGAGGCTGAGATCACAGGATCCAGATTCAAAAGTATCCCAGGAAAGAATGCTTGTGTGACTTTTATCCCCAATTATCTAGAAAAATCCAGAAGTGGAGCTAGGGCTCAAGCAGTAGAGTGCTGGCCTTGAGTAAAAAAGTTAAAGGACAGTGTCCAGGTGTTGAGTTCAAGTCTCAGTACTAGAACCAGCAAAAAAATAATACAAAAATAATTCTTGTGATTCATACAAAACAGGACTATTAACAGCTTTGGTCTGCAAGCATAGTTTGCAGGACAGGCATGAAACACAACATCACATTAGAGAAAAAAGGAATATTTACTTGTTGGTAGGAGAAGGCACAGAGGACTCCTGGGATACTATTCTATTTCTCAGTCTTGGTGGTGGTTGCATGGTTATACCTTGTGAGAATTCATCAAAACATCCATTATGATTTGTGTGCTTTTCTGTCTACTATACTTCAATAAAAATGATCAGAAATGACAAGTGTGTAATCAGTGTTCAAAAGAAACTAGAGGAGGCCATTGTTTTAGAGTAAGCTCCTGTCTGAGGCCCCAACACCAGGTTAAAAATCAAAGTGGTGGGCTGGGAAGGTGGCTCAGTGGGAGAGTGCTTGACTTGCATGCATGAGGCCCTGGGTTTGATTCCTCAGCACCACATAAGCAGAAGTGGTGCTATGGCTCAAGTGGTAGAGTGCTAGCCTTGAGCTGAAGAGCTGAGAGACAGCACCCAGGCCCAGAGTTCAGGCCCTATGACTGACAAAAAATAAAAATAAATAAATAAAAATGGTGTCATGCACTCTCAAGTTCACCAAGGGGAAATTAAGTTTTGTCTGACTGCTGAGAAATCAGGATTGGGAGACAAAGGCCAAATTTCCCTGTCACTCCAATTTCAATAGGCAAAATGTCTTTCCTTCTGTTCTTTATTCCTCCCACAAATGAAGTAACCTGAAATAACCTGAAGTTAACTAATCAGTTATTTTCCTTTTATTTCCTTGTTTCCAGTTTACAAGGAAAGTAACTTAAGCCAAGACTGGTGGCATATACCTACAATCTCCACCCTCTAAAGGGTGAAGCAGGAAGACTAGTTAGTGGTAAGCCTATGTTACAGTGAGGCCCTGTCTTTAAAAAGAAAAAAAGATAGGCTAGGAACGTGGATTAATGGTGGAGTGCTTGCCTAGTATGCATGAAACCCTGGATTTGATTCCTTAGTACACAAGAGACCACAAGTGGTGCTGTGGCTCAAGTAGTAGAGTGCTATCCTTGAGCAAAAGAAGCTCAGGGACAGTGCCCAGTCCCTGAGTTCAAGCCTCAGGACTGGCAAAAAAAAAAAAAAAATAATAATAATAAAAAAGTCAGTCATTTCAAAAGGTTTTTGCTGTTGTTGATTTTAATTTATTTAAAGCAAGGTGTACCTATGTTGTTCAGACTGGCCTTGAACTTAAAATCCTTCTGCCACACAGCCTCTCAAGTGATGGAATTACAGGTGGATACCACCATACCTGGCTTGTCTCTTCCTTCCAGCCCTTCTTGTCTATTAAAAATAATCTCCTTTGGCTCAGATCATCATACCTCTTACTCTATTTTTATGGAATAAAGTGTTGCCCAATTCAAGAATTAAAAATAAACCCAGGGGCTAGGAGGGTAGCTCAGGAATAAATCTGATGTCGTGTCCAATCCTCAAGATACATATCCACACAAAGCAAATTAAGATAAAAGGACATAAATAATAATAAAATAGGATCTGGTGCTGTAGGAGATGAGAGACCTTTACTCCTAGTAACTTGGGAGAGGATGAGTCTAAGGTATCTTCAAAGGAGAGAGGCCCTGGAGGAAATAGCATCAGGCATATGGGTCAGAGATCACCACTGATACTGCCTCCTGTTCTCTAGGCAAGTGCTCTGGCCTCATTGTGCTGGTAGTGGGGCTTGAACTCAGGGCCTTGCACTCTCACTTAGTTTTTTCATCTAAGACTGGTTCTCTACACCAGCTTTTTGCTGATTCATTAGAGATAAGCCTCTCGGATTTATCTTCACTGGCTGGCTTAGAACCACCATCCTCAGATCTCTGCCTCTTGAGTAACTAGGATTATAGGCTTGAGCCTCTGGCTCCTGCACCTGTACTTTTTTTTTTCGGTTGTTCATCATTATTTTTTTTTTTTCGTTAATTTTGATCTTCTAAAATGTGTGCATTAGCTAGGGGGGGTAACGCCCGCCAGAAATCTCAGCACTCCGGAGGCTGGAGCAGGACGACGGTGAGTTCGAAAACCCTGTCTCAAAGCAAAAACAAAAACGAAACCTTTAGGGTGCATTAAAACATGCGTTCTTTGCCCTAAGTATTAGGTTCTTAAATGGCATTTCCTTAAAATGTGCCTCCTAGCCGAGTGTCTTATCCCAGTACCTGGGGCAAACCATTCTCCCTCCCGACCCCCCGCCGCTTTCTCCTCCAGTTACGGGGAAGAGAGTATGGCGGGACCCGCTCTTCACGGTTCAGTGTCCTCCCGCGCTCCACCACGCACAACATCTTGCAGGATCACAGCAGTGACAACGCCGGGACCACGCCTGGAACTGCACTGGAGTTGAGTTGAGGCACCGGCGTGCGCCGCGGCCCGGAGCGCTTCGCCGCGGACTTGGCTCTCGAAGGCTATTACCCAATGGAGGGGAGGCTCGCTGGGAGCCGGACTCCTGATTGGCTGAGACGAAATACGCGCGCCGCCTACGCGTCATCAGCGAGCGACAAAGGCCTCCGGAGAGGCTTAAGTAAGCTCCTTTTTAATTGGCTCTCTCCCTAGAGAGCTATTGAAAGAGAGATGGGGATTTGCTTTCCTCCAAATGTAGGTTTCCGGCATTTGGGAGAAATAAAGTCTCTTAGAGCCTGGAAGTCGAGGGTGGCGGGGGCCTCGGCGGATGGACGGGGCTCTGGGGGACAGGGTTCCTTTGGGGGGTCGGGGTGGAGCCGCACAGTCGGGCTCTTCCACGGGACACGGGGTGGGGTCGGGGAACCGGGAGGAGCCGGGCGGCGGGTGGGCGTGGCCGCAGCCGGCGGGAGGCGGGGCCGAGCCGGGTGGGCGTGGCCGCAGCCGGATGAGGGCGTGCCCTGCGCCGGACGCAGTGCGGCCGGCCTGGAGCTGTGCGTGGCCAGGCGCGGGTCGGCTTTTGCGCGCTGTTCCTGAGCATGGCTCCGCGCTTCTGGTTCTGGTGTCACCGGTCGGCGTGGCCTCGGATCCGACCGCCTCTCGCCAGGAATACCCCGAGTACGAGCAGGACACTGCATGGGAGCGCGGAGTGCAGGGGTCGGATCGGAGCTGGGGACCAGGCGTGGTGGTGGTGCGGGAAGGGGGAGGGGGCCAGATGGAGTCTGTGCGGTGCGAGGCGAGGTGTCAGGGTGAGACGGAGTGAACGGGGGTAGGCGACCGGGAAATCTCAGGCGGGATAGGGTAGGGTAAGATTAGTACAGAGTCCCGCAGAGAAAGGAGGGAGAGGGAAGGTGGGGGGGCGTGGTAGGGCGACCCACAGTGGCGGGATTGGGGGTGATAGGGAGTCTGTGGGATCGTCGTCAGATGGGCAGGATACCCCATAAGGATAATGAGGAACTGTGCTTCAGAGACAATGAGGGTTGTGAGTAGGCCATCATTAGCTGCAGGTTCAGGGGTCAGGCATGGGGCAACTTTTGGGGGTTCAGATGAAGTAAGGGACCCCGCAAATGACAGAACTTCGAGGAACAGGAAGGAGATGCAAGTGAGGGTGCGTCTCTTGTGATTTGGGAGAGGGAGACAGTGTCAGCTTGATCTTGCTTCCTCTCTGTGCAGCCCTACATTTCTACCAGCAGTTCTCCACGCAGGAAAAGGCTCCTCAGATCTGTGTGGTGGGCAGCGGCCCAGCTGGCTTCTATACAGCCCAACACCTGCTAAAGGTAATACGAAGGGCAAGCCCCACCCTCTTTGGCTTGCCTTTTGAGATGGCCCCAGCCCATCTGGACTAGGTAATGGAGTGGGTTTCTCCTTTCTCCTGTCTCCATTCAACACCCTCCACCCCTACCCCACATTCTGTATGTCAAGGCATTATGGCATTCTGTGACCATTACCTACCTCACCATCCCATCCTCTCCCACAGCTCCTCTCCCAACCTGTGCTTTTCTCCATTCAGAGTCAAGGTCTCAAGTCAGAGCCTCCCACTGCCTGCTCCTTTCCCCCAAGGACTCAAGGCTTCCACTGTGCACCACAGTAGACCTTGAGATCTAGGAGGAGGGGACAAGATAAGTTTGGACAAGGAAAGACAGTGGCCTAGCCTTTGGGGCCTTGGAGAGACATAAGAAAGGGTGAATATATTAATTTTGCACATAGGCTGATACTTGAAAAGTAGAGTGACCCACTGGTATATCCCAGTTTGCTGTGACATGGGGCTTTTTGTGCCGCAACCAGGAAGATCTCAGAGAAAACTTTTGCTGAAAAGCGGCCTAGGCCTGCCCCCCAGGTAGCACCGGCGGCTGAGGTAATGATGGAGAGGCAAGCAGGGTGAGTCAAGCAGGTGGGCACCATCAGAAGCAGTTTCCTGGGACACGAATATGAGCCACACTGAAAGCCACACACAGGCTCTAGCTAGGGCCTCGTTTGTGGAGTCAGCTTGGAATTCAAGGCCATGTCCTTAAGGGGATAGCTTGGGGTCTGAATGGAGGCCAGGAAGCTGATCAGAGAGGCCTTGTAGGGCTTTGTGTGGGGGCCACTGTGTTGGCTGAGCCTTGAGCAAGGGAGAACAGGCCTTCCAGGCAGGGTTCGTAGCTCCATCCGTGTCTGTGGGCGGGGCACTGATTTCAGGTTGGCACATGTGTAGGTGCTTTCCCTGCTGGATGGGCCAGGGATGGACCCAGGGTCCAGGTTCCAGCTGCTCCTGATGCTCTAGGTAGGAACTTGGGCTGTTGGCCCTGTTCCTAATATGAGTCATGTTTGGGGCAATGGCACTGAATTTGAGTCTGGTTCTGAACAGTGCATCTCCCAGCATCCTCATGTCCAACCTGATACAGGCGTCATGCTCCCAGGGGGAGGCACAAAGGTGGGGGAGACTTTCCATGGCTCCACCCTGGGCACAGAGGAGGTGCCCGGACCTGGATGTCAGCCGTCTGAATCAGGCCAGTCTGCTGTTGCTTACCTAGTAATCATTGGACTGGACGCCAGCATGTTCTGTGCACTGGGACCATGTGCTCAAGGTTGGGGGGCTGGGGAGGGGGGGGCACAGGACATTTTAGGGTCTACACAGAGAGAGGCCTCCAACTCAGTCCAGAGGAAGAGCTGTCCAGATTCTCATGTCTGAAAGCCCACAGCGGGTGTCAGGCCAGGATAGGATAACAGAAATGTGCCAGGCCCAGGGAACCCTGTGTGGACCAAGGCCAGAGGAGGGAGGCGTGTGCCCTTCAGGGAAGTAGCAAGTGCACGAGGGCAGATGTGGGTTTGAGGGGCGAAGGGGAGCCTGAGGGCTGAGGAGGTGGACAGGCCCAGATACCCAGACCACACTGGACTTGGCTGGCTTTTCTGGTGCTGTGTACAGCCCCACCCCATAAGAGTCCCCTGGGACACTTCTTGTTTTTTAATGGTAATGGGTTTTGAATTCAGGGTTGTGTGCTCTCTTGGCTTGCTTGCATAGATGGCTCCCAACCTCTTGAGCAACATCTCCAGTTGTGCCTTTTGCTGCTGCTGCTTATTTTGGATCTGATGGACTTTTGGCTTCAATTCTTTTTTTTTTTTTGTCAGTCATGGTGCTTGAATTCTGGGCCTGGGCGCTGTCCCTCAGCTCTTCAGTTCAATGATAGCACTCTATCACTTGAGCCACAGTGCCACTTCTGGTTTTCTGAGTGGTTTATTGGCGGTAAGAGTCTCACAGACTTTCCTGCCTTGGCTGGCTTTGAACTGTGATCCTCAGATCTTAGGCTCCTGAGTAGCGAGGATTACAGGTGTTCCCGGAGCCTGCTGGCAAGGAAAGGGAATCCTGATTTAGGGAGTGAGGATGAGAAAAAAAAAAAAGACACAAGACAAAAGATGGGGTTGGGAGGTCTGCAGCTCAAGACTGCAGCCCTGTTTATTTTCAACGTTCCCTAATATATACTGTTAGAAGTCAAGAGGTAACATAAGGTTACTATAGTCCAGAAAAAAACAAGGAAAATTTCAGTGAAAACAGAGTGCAGTAAAAACAAGACAAGGTCAACTGATTGAAAAAACAAACTCTGCAGACATAGCAAAGCAATCCCGGGCACCTGGTGTCTTTCAAGTAAGCCAGTTTCTTGTGTGTGCCTTCAAGCGAGCACAGGGGTCAAGATGACCTTTGAGCTTTACTGTCGGCTCCCAACAAGGTGTGAGCCACCGGTGCCCGGCTATGGCTTCAATTTTTTATCCTCCAGATCTTCGCTTCCTAAGTAGCTGGAATTGTAGGTGTGATGCACTGGCACTCACCCAGGAAAACTTTTTAAAGTGAACATTTCTGGGCCCAGCTCAGACTTGATCAAACACTGTGGCTGGTGCCCTGGGATCAGCACCAGAATTCTGCTGCCCATTGCTCCAGGGAATTGGCTTTTAGGCAGGAGATAATAGGGCTTCTTTTTTTGTTTGGTTAGTTTGGGCTTTGCTGAATATTGGACTTAGGGCCTAGTACTTGCTAGAAAAGTGCTTTTTCAATGACCCCTGAGGCACACTGCCTGTCCTTTATTTTTTTATTGGCGTGTTCTGTCTGTAGGGTAGACGGAAGCAGGGTTTAGAGAGGAGGAGGCCAAGGATGTGAGGTTGATGAGCCAGGATAGAGGGGTAGGTGACAGGCCCACTACCTAACTGGACTCTATGTAGATGGAGGGTCAGAAGAGCAGAAGGGAAGAGGTTAGTTTATGGAATTATGGGATTTTCCCTCCTCTGGTGCTGGTGATCAAACCCAGGGCCTTATGCATACTGCATGCCCAGCGTGTGTATGTGTAGTGTGTGTGGATGCGCATGTGCACACATTGCTCACATACCTGCTAGTTCTGGGGCTCGAACTCTAGGCCTGGGCGCTGTCCCTTAGCTTTTTTGCTCAAGGCTAGCACTTCACTTGAGCTACAGCTTCACTTCTGGCTTTTTGCTGGCTGGTTGGAGATAGGAGTCTCAAAGATTTTCCTTTGCAGTCTGGCTTTGAACCACAATCATCAGATTTCAGCTTCCTAAATAGCTAGGATTGTAGATGGGAGCCATTAGCGCCCAGCTCTGGCACCCCTCCTGCTCCGCCCCACCCCCTTTTTTTTGTTGGTCATGGGGTTTGCACTGATGACTCGTGTACTGTCCCTGAGTTTTTCTGCTTAAGGTTAGCTCTCTACCACTTGAGCCCCAGCTCCACTTCCTGCTTTTTGGTGTTTAATTGGAGATAGGAGTCTTGCTGGCTCCTGAGTAGTTAGGATTACAGGTGTGAGCCATCAGCACCTGGCTTTTTTTTTTTTTTTTTTTAAACTATTATAGCCTAGACAGCCTAGAATTCAAGATCTTCCTGCCTCCATCTTGTAAGAGCTGGGATTCCAGACTGTTCCACCACACCGGGCAGAGGACTTGCGAGTTGTGTGCACTTAGGGGAGCATGGAGCTGGCCTTGGAGAGCCGGAGAGCCTGAGACCTGGAGTGCAGGCCTCTCTGCAGCAGAATGCCAGGGGCGATAACGGTGAGGGCGGATTGGGAGGGGCTGACTGTTCAGAGCAGTCTGACCTTTGTATCCTGGCAACCAGAGAAAGTGACTTGGGCCACAGCAAATGCTCGCATTGGATCCTCCCTTGAATTCCACCCAGTAGGGCCATCCTAACCGGTACCCTAAGGAACTCATGGTCTGCAGGAAGTGGTTTGAGTGGTCACCTATGGGCTGGCCAGAGAAGGGGAGAGGCAGGAGGGGTGGATGGGTGAGGCAGCCTGGGCTTGGGACAGGCAGGCAATGGACTAGAAAGGGGAACCTTGGGCCAAGGTGAGGGGCTGGGGACAGGCGCTCACCAGGCTTGAGGCCCATTGCCTGGGGAGTGGCGTGAGCCTGGACACCGGGCGTGGCACCCTGGGAGCCCCGCTGCTTTGCTCTGAGCTGCTTGCAGGGTCCGTCTGCCCTCACTTCCCCAGCGCCTCCAGTTCACTCTGGGGGGCGGGGTGCCCAGGGAGCCCCTGGCATTTACTGGTCTCTACCTGACCCAGACCCTGTGCCTACCCTGCAGCCCCTAGAGGTGCCGTGGGGGTGGAGAATGCCCCCCAGCCTCTCCCCTACCCTCCTCCCCCCCCTCCACTTCTTGGCTGGCCATCCTTGTTCTAGTGGGGTGATCTTAGGACTCTACGAAGGCAGGTGTGAACTTCAAAGGCTGGTTCTCAGCCATCAGGTCAGCTGGAAATTTCTAGAAGTGAACCAATGTTGGAAGGCAGTTACCATGACTCACGTCGGACCAGAGGAGGAAGCTCTCCTTACTCCACTCCAGCGCAGAGCAATACCCTCCATAGCTGCCCACGCTGCCCACAGCCTCACAGCTGGCGGTCCTGACTGAGGTCTGACCTCAGCCCCTCTTGCTGCTTGTGCCGCCCCAGGTCCCTTGTCTGGCCCTCAGGTGGATACATGCAGAGAAGCACTTCCTCTCCTCCGGGTGGACACCCTAGAGGGAAACTCTCCTGCTCTGTCCAGGAGGGAGACCCAGCTTCTCCCCCAGCGCCCCCCCAAAAAACCCCTGCATCCTTTCCCACAGCACCATCCCCAGGCCCAGGTGGACATCTACGAGAAGCAGCCGGTGCCCTTTGGCCTGGTGCGCTTTGGTGTGGCTCCCGATCACCCTGAGGTGAAGGTGAGTCATGCTGGGCGTGGAGGTGAGGCGTGGGGGGTGGGGAATGTTCCTGGGGACCCTGGGTTGAGGGGGACGCTGGCCATGCCCGGAGCCGCCTCACCTCAAATCCCTCTCCCTTGATGCTGCCTGGCAGAACGTCGTCCACACGTTCACCCAGACGGCCCGCTCTGACCGCTGCGCCTTCTGGGGCAACGTGTCCGTCGGCAGGGACGTGACGGTGCCGGAGTTACAGGAGGCCTACCACGCTGTGGTGCTGGTGTGTAGAGCGGGGGTGGCGGCAGGGGAGGGGATGCTCAGGCCAGAGGTGACCGGTGCAAGGCCCCCCGGGATGTAGAAGCTTCTAGAAGGGGCTGCTGGGAGCTGGGCCTGTGCTCTCTCCTCAGAGCTATGGGGCGGAGGACCACCGGGCCCTGGGGGTTCCCGGTGAGGAGCTGCCTGGCGTGCTGTCTGCCCGGGCCTTTGTGGGCTGGTACAACGGGCTCCCTGAGAACCGGGAGGTGAGCTGAGGGGTCACGCTGGCTGGGGGTCACCCCAACACAGGTAGGCTGGACTCTCCTGCTCAAGCATTGCAGGGGAGGGGGGACCCCAGGGCACGGGGGGGGGGAGGAGGGAGCGGGCAGGAGGAGGCTGTGCAGGTGAGATTGAAATGAAGAGGCCCAGAGACCCATGAAGACCTTTCCCCTCCCCCCAGCTGATGCCGGACCTGAACTGTGACACAGCGGTGATTCTGGGGCAGGGGAATGTGGCTCTGGATGTGGCCCGCATCCTGCTGACCCCACCTGAGCACCTGGAGGTGAGCCGGAGGCCGGAGGTAGAGGGGAGGAGGCCAGTCACGCAGGAGAGAGGCTGTGCTGGTCCTCGGGTCAGCCTCCCAGCGCCAAGCCAAGCTCAGCCCCTGCGGCCTGGGTTCAGGCAGAGCCTTCCTGAAAGCCAGGACTCCGGGCTGCATGGACTTTTTTTCTTTTTTCTTTTGTGGGGCTTGAACTCTGGGCCTGGGCGCTGTCCCTCAGCTCTTCAGCTCAAGGCGAGCGCTCTACCACTTGAGCCACAGTGCCACTTCCGGTTTTTGAGTGGCTAATTGGAGATAAGAGTCTCACAGACTTTCCTGCCCAGGCTGGCTTTGAACTATGATCCTCAGATCTCAGCCTCCTGAGTAGCCAGGATTACAGGCGCGAGCCACCGGGCGCCCAGCTGACTTTTAAGACTTCAGTGTGCCTCAGGACCTTTATGTACACCAGCCCCCTGCCTGGAGCAGTCTGACTTGACTCCTGCGTGTTGCAAGTTCAACATTCCGCTTCCAGGTCTTGGCTTAGTTTCTCCTTTTACCAGGCAGTCCTCTGGGACCACCTTGAATCGTGGTCCACTGCCAAATTTTTCAGAGTCCAGTCTGCTGCAGTTCCTAGCAGGTTACCAGCCCAGGAATTATCGCTTATCCCTCCCTCCCCAAGAGCCAGCACCTGCCTTCTGTCTCCAGCCCCCAGCCTCCTTTGTTCCCAACACACTGTAACCCTCCCTGTGCCCTGGGAGGGAGTCTCCACTGTGTGCAGAGTTGCCCGCAATACTCATAATGCCCACCAGGGGGAGACATGGTACCATATTCTCCCCCCCCCCCACCTCCCCCAGCCTTCCGCCTTAGGTTAGAGACAAAACCAACTGGCCAGTTCCCTTCCCCAGGGCAGTGTGTGATGATTTCAAGCACCTCCTTTTGTGCCAGAAAACGGACATCACAGAGGCTGCTTTGGGGGTGCTGAGGCAGAGTCAGGTGAAGACCGTGTGGATAGTGGGCCGGCGAGGGCCCCTACAAGTGGCCTTCACCATCAAGGTACTGGGACCAGAGGGGGAGGGGCAGGGTCCCAAGCAGAGGGTCCCCATGTATGGGGGGAGGTGTGGCGGGGGTGGTCATCAGAGCCCCTCGAGTGGCTGCTGCCTGGGAGGGACCTTGGGGAGCAGGCAGGACTCCCAGTGCCTGGAACTTTCCATGGTGGTGTCTCCTGCCCCAGGCTGCCTTTGTGTGTGTGTGGGGGGGGGGGGGGGCTGTGTTCTGACTCTGACCACCCCCACTCCCACCCCACGCTCCAGGAGCTTCGGGAGATGATCCAGTTACCAGGAACACGGCCCCTTCTGGATCCTAAGGATTTTTTAGGTCTTCAGGACAGCATAAAGGGTGAGGGGTCCGGCCTGGTCCCCTGGGAGGAATGGGGGGGCTCCTGGGGGGGGTCCTGTGGGCAGGGACAGCCCTGAGGTGCCCCATGTTGCTGCCAGAGGTCCCGAGGCCCAGGAGGCGGCTGAGCGAACTGCTGCTGCGCACAGCCATGGAGCAGCCACGCGCGGAGGAGGCCGCCCGCCGAGCCCTGGCCTCCCGAGCCTGGGGCCTCCGCTTTTGCCGAAGCCCCCAGCAGGTGCTTCCCACTCCAGATGGGCGGCGGGCAGCAGGAATCCGCCTGGCGATCACCAGACTGGAAGTGAGTCTCGTTACCCAAGGATACCCCCCTGCCCCCCCATATGCCCCCCCCCCCCCCCCCCGCCTTCTGAGGCCTCTCCACCCCACAGCCTGGTGATGTCCCCACTCTCCCTGCAGGACGTCGGGGAGGCGGCCCAGGCGGTGCCCACAGGAGACACCGAGGACCTCCCCTGTGGGCTGGTGCTGAGCAGTGTTGGCTACAAGAGCCGCTCCATTGACCCCAGTGTGCCCTTTGACCCTAAACTTGGCATCATCCCCAATACAGAAGGCCGGGTTGTGGAGGTGCCAGGTGAGCGTGTGGGAAGGCTGGGCGTGTGTGGTAGGAGGCTGTGTCTCCTGGCCCATCATTCACTAGTGCCAAGCACCGAGAAGCTCTGCGGGCAAGCCTGGCCCAGGACCCAGCCTACCCTCACATGGCCAAATGTGTGGTCATTAAGTCATTCAACAAACGCTTACCAGTCTGCTCTGGGCTGGGCCCTGTGCTCAGTGCTGGGATGGGAGCTGAGGCAGCCTCCTCTCTTCAGGCCACTTCTGGTCTAATTGTTCTGATTATTTCTCCAGTCAATAAATGCTCCTGAGGGTCTGCTAGGCTGGGGGTGAGCAGGCCCCAGCCCCTAGCTTCAGGGAAACTGAGGTCTAAGGAGCCTGAGAGAGTAGAACAGTTCAGAAGCATCCAGGGTGCTGGATGAGTGGCCATCGTGAGCCTAGCTGTTGGGGTTCACCGGGAGGTTTGTGGCGAGTGTCTGCCTGCACCTCTCTGTACAGGTGGGGCACAGGTTGCCAAGCAACAGCCAGCCACTCCCGTTTTCGCTCTCTCAGGACTCTACTGCAGCGGCTGGGTGAAGAGGGGACCCGTGGGCGTCATTGCCACCACCATGACGGACAGCTTCCTCACCAGCCAGCAGCTGCTGCAGGACCTGAAGGCCGGGCTGCTGCCCTCTGGCCCCCGGCCCGGCTCTGCAGCCATCCAGGCCCTGCTCAGGAGCCGAGGTCTGGGCTCGCCCACTGAGGTCCTGGGTGGGGGGATGGGTGACCCCCCCCTTCTTTGGGGGGAAGGTGAAGGAGGAGGAGACGGCACTGGCTGTGTCCCTTCTGCCTCAGGAGTCCGGCCAGTCTCCTTCTCAGACTGGGAGAAGCTGGATGCCGAGGAGGTGTCCCGAGGCCAGAGCGCCGGGAAGCCCCGAGAGAAGCTGGTAGATCCACAGGAGATGCTGCGGCTGTTGGGAGGCTGAGCCCGGATCCCTGCCCAGGCTCCTGGGACACTGAGCCCGGATCCAGGCCCAGGTCAACGAAGGGAGAGGGCTGAGCCCCGCTCCACACCCTAGACACCCACTGCCCACCCTGGCCTGGGGTCTTGGCTGCCTCCCGGTGGACACGCAGGCCGACGCTGCCCCGCTCCGCCGTCCCCCTCCCGCTGGACTCCGGAGGGCCACTCGGTGGGGGGGGGGGGATGCTGGAAATAAACTAGCTGAAACTGAAGTCTACACGGTTGATGGTGGATGCTTCTTTGGGGTGTGGGGGGGCAGGGTCACCTTCTGGCCCCGGCTAGCCCGGGCCACCAGGTGGCGCTGTGGAAGCGCGCCCTGCGCCGGAGCTTCTGGGGGCTGGGGCGGGGGGCCTGGGGCAGGCCTGGCGCGGCGCACCGATCCGGCTCTGCCGGCCCTGCGGCCTGCTTACCCCTGCCCAGCCCAGCTCAACCAGTGAGAGGCGAGATGACCCCCCCTCGGCAGCAGCCTTGGGACCCCCCCCCCGTCTACCCCCCCCCCCATGGCGGGCAGGTGTGGCCTTGGGGCCCCCTCTGGGCACCCCCGTACCTCGCGACCCTCGGTGCACTTCTCCATTTCTAGCCAAGTCCCCAAGTTCTTTAAGAAAAAAAACCCCAAAAGCCGTACCTCCCTCGGGGTGAGTCTTCTACGGGGGCCCGGGGCCCCGGCATCGCTTTATCAGCCAGGATCCCGGAACCGCGCGGCCCAAGGTCACACTGGCCAGCGGAGGGCTTGAACCCGGGGCTGGGCAGCCGCTCTGGTCTGGAGCCTCGGGGGCTGGGGAGGGGCGCGGGCGCGCGGGGAGGGCACGCGGGGGCCGGGCGGGGCGGGGCGGGGCGGAGGCGGCGAGCCGAGCGGCCGTCAGCGGGGGCCCCCCCCCCCGCCCTCCCCCGCGCCAGCCCCGGGCGCGCGGGACGAGCCGGCGCGGGCCGCAGCCCCCAGGCCGCGCCGCGGGCGGGCACCGGCTCGCTGCGCCCGGCTCGGGCGCCGGCCGGGTTAGGCGCGCGCGCGCCAGCGCACGGGGGGCGCCGGGCGAGGGCGCCGCGCGGGGAGGCGGCCGGCGGCCGGCGCGGGCTCCGGACGCGGGCGCCGCTGCGCCCCTTCCCCCGGTGAGTGATGGGGTGGCGGGGGTGGCGGGGGACGCGGCGAGGGAGGGAGTTACCAACTTCATGGCCAACTTGGGCCCGGGCAAGGACAGCGAAGACAGACCCGGGACCCCGCGGGGGAGGGAGGGGGCAGTCAGACGACTCGCTCCGGGACTCGGGGAGACCACAGGGACCCCTCTGGAACCCGGCCTGGGGTTTGGAGGAGGCCAGGAAGAGGCCGGGGTGGGGGGTGACTGGGTTCACACAGCAGTCACCCGGACGCGGACGCGATGTTTGTCCCCGGGGCCGCCGAGCCCTCCCCCTCCCCCTCCCCCTTGCCTGGCACCCAGCGCTTTGGGGGGGGGGTGCGGGGATCCCGGCCGCTCCGTCCAACTGTTGCTGCTGGACGCCACTTGGACTATGAGGGGGGGTCCGCACCTGGAGGCGGAGGCTGGGGGGGGGGGGCGCGGCGGGTGGAGGGCTGGTTCCCGGGGTTTGCTGGGCGCGTCTGCCGCCTGGGACAGCCTGTGGCCTCGCGCCTCCCCTCCCCACCCTTCCTTCCCTTCTCTGTCCCATCCTCTGACCTCCAGAAATCCGAGCAGGGGCTGGGAAGGTGGCTCCGTGGTAGAGTGCTTGCCCTGGGTTCGATTCCTCAGTACCACGTAGCAGAAGTGGTGCTGTGGCTCAAGTGATCAAGCACTAGCCTTGAGCACAAAAGCTCAGGGACAGTGTCCAGGCCCTGAGTTCAAGCCCCGGGACCACCACCAAAAAGAAAGAAATCAGAGTAGGCGCTTGGATTGGTTGTTTTCATCCAAACTCCCTGCACGCCTGCCCTGGCCCCAGGGGCCCCAGGATGCCAAGGGAAAGGTGGGCTAAGAAGGCCCTGGGAGAGCCTACACCCGACCCCTTGACCGGCCCCCTCCTCCTCTCCCCCCTCCAGGCAGCACCAGCGGCTGCTGGCGGCTCCCGGGGCTTTGATGGACGGGGAGGGCTGGGAGGAAAAGCCTGAGGCTCTGGAGCTCTTGCGCAGGGCAGAGACAAACAAATACAGAGGCACCCACCGGCTCCTGCGGGGTCGGCCCGCCCTCCTTCCCAGCCCTCCTCATCCAACAGGGACTTGTGGCGGCTTCTCCCAGCCCTGGGAGGCTGGCCGGGTCCTGGTTTGATCCCTGAGATTCTGGAAAATGTGGGCACGCGCTTTATTCAGAGAGGGCGCCCCTGGCTCTTATTCCCCCCCCCCCCAAATCTGGTTTCGGGCGCAGAGCTCCTGATGGTGCAAGGGTAAGACCGTGGAAGGGACACCCAGGCTGGACGGTGGACACTTGGCTTCGCTTCTATCCCCCAGGGTGGCCCCAGCGGGGACCTGGACCACAGCTCTGCCACCACCCAGCTCCTGAGGCGTGAGGTCGAGACCCGGCGTGGGGAAGCAGGTGGGCGCAGAGACCAGGTGTGAGGGAGGGGGGACAGCAGCCAGGCGGGGGGCGCCCAGTGCGTGATGCTGCCCAGCTTGGCCACCAGGAGGCGTGGCGCGGGTCCCCGCGCCCTCCCGGAGCCACCGTTGCCGGCCGCCGCCGCCTCCGCAGCGCGAGTGTCCTTGAGCCGGTGGTGAGGGTGGCTCCTGCCGCTCGGGCCCCCTCGCCCCGCAGGGGCAGCCTGATGCCACCTTCCCTATGAATTATTTATCGCCGGCCTAAAAATACCCCCCGAACTTCACAGCCCAGAGTGTAAGAGAATTTCTGGGAGGGGAGGGGTGGGGGGGACGGGCGCCCTAGGGGCTGAGCTGGGGTGGTTGGGGGGGGGACCTAGCTGACAGAGAGAACTGAACACCAGGAACCGATCCGAGGGGCCAAGGTGGAGGGGGACGTGGCTCTCTCTCTCTCTTGACTTCTGGGTGAACCCAGTCGGCTAGGGGAAGGGGATGGGTGGGAAAGTGGATGGCTTAGGCGGACCCTTGCTTGGCAGACGCTGGCCTCCTTCACCCAGAGAAACCAGTGCCGCTGGTGAGTGGTACTGGTTCTTGAAACCAGACCTCCTCTGGCCCGGGAGAGCGAGCGAGTGGCTAGCACCCCTTCTTGTGAGTGTGTGAGAATGTGGGTGCATGCCTGGCCCCGTCCCAGACCTGCCAGAGTGAGAGTAGGGAGCAGGGAGAAGGAGAGGCTGAGTCTCTGGAGGCATCTGGGCTCTTCCAGGGTGCTCAGGACTGACTGCCGCCAACCTCTCCCTCATTTTCTTCTTCTTCTTCTGGTTTTCTGGTGGTTTATTGGAGATAAGAGTCTCACAGACCTTCCTGCACCGGCTGGCTTTGAATGGTGATTCTCAGATCTCAGCCTCCTGAGTGGCTGGGATTACAGGCGTGAGCCACCAGCGCCCCGCTCCCTCCTTATTTTTGGAATCCAGGTGTTCAGCTAAACTTTGATGGTTCTTCGTGAAAGGGGTGTAACCCAAGAGGGTGGGGAGAGGGCTCCATGAGAGCTTGCTCTGCCTTCCAGAAACCCCATTCTATCTGCCTTGGGCATAGTAGAAGGCTCTTGCCAGGGCCTAGCTCTAGGATCTCAACCTGGGAAGAAGGGCAGAGGAGCCCAGACTTTGGTCTTGGGGCCTCAAGAGCTGATTGTACAAGGCTGGGCCTTGGGTCGGGGGAGGACTTAGGTTGGGCTCTAAGGGATGGTAGAACTTTTTTTTTAGTCGGTCGTGGGGCTTGAATTCTGGGCCTGGGCACTGTCCCTCAGCTCTTCAGCTCAAGGCTAGCACTCTACCACTTGAGCCACAGCACCACTTCCGGGTTTTGATAGGGGGCAGGTTATTGGAGATAAAAGTCTCTCAGGGACTTTCCTGTGTGGGCTGGCTTTGAACCTCGATCCTCAGATCTCAGCCTCCTGAGTAGCTAGGATTACAAGTATGAGCCACCGGCGTGGGCTTGGTAGAACTTTTTGGGAAGAGGACGTTCAGCTTAGGGGAGCAGCAAGACCTGGAGAGAGTGGCCGTGTGGGCTGGTGTGGCCACCACACATGTGGGCAGGGCTGTCTGTGAAGGGGAAGGCTAAGGCATGGGAGAGGGGGGAGCTGGGACCAGACTTCGCTGTCTGTGGGAGCCCTAGGGAACAGCTGTCCTGTGTCAGGTCAGTGCAGATGCCACAGGAAGTCTCAGCAGCATAGTGAGACAGACGGGTGGGGACCGCGGATGGCGGCCTTTGAAAGGAGAAGTAGGGGCCAGAGGGAAGGGGCCACGGGCCTGCCGAGGAGACCGGAGCTTGCATTTCTCAATCTGTCTGCCATTGTTCTGTGAGCTCAGAGGCTGGTCTGGTGCCTGCCCAGCCCTCATTTTAAGCCTCCTGCCAAGAGAAACGACCTGCCCTGACCTCCCCTTCTTCCCACCTCATACCCCAGAGGACCCCTTCTCACTGGAGAAAGGCCCTTTTGGGGTTGTGGGAGGGCCTGGCCCTTCATCCAAACTCACATTGTCTGGAGAAGATAAATAGGAGCCATGTAGGAGATCGATCTCTGCCTTGCCTTGCCTTGCCCCTCTCTCTCTCTCTCTCTCTCTCTCTCTCTCTCTCTCTCTCTCTTTCTGTGCTAGTTCTGGGGCATAAGCTCATGCTAGGCACTGTCCCTGAGCTTTTTTTTCTCAAGGCTAGCACTCTACCACCTGACCCACAGCCCCACTTCTTTTTTTTGGTGTTAATTGGAGATCAGAGTCTCATGGACATTCTTGCCCAGGCTGGCTTCGAACTAACCCTCAAATCTCAAGCTCCTGAGTAGCTAGGATTACAGGCATGAGCCTTTGGTGTCTGGCTACATGTATGATTTTAAATTTTCTGGCAGTCACTTTTTTAAAATAGAAAAGAGAAACAGGGGGATTTAAGATTTTGCTTAATTCGATGTTATTGAATGTAGTCAACATAAAAATATTGAGATAAGTCCAGCACTGGTGGCACTTGCCATCCTAGCTACTCAAGAAGCTGAGACCTGGAAGATCACAGTTCAAAGCCAGCCCAAACAGAAAAGTCTGCTGGATTTCATTTCCAGAACAACCAACAAAAAGCCATACTGGAGGAATGGTTCAAGTGGTAGAGCTCCAGCTAAGTAAGCTCAAGG